ACAGCCATGAGTGGGGAGGGGGATATCAAAACTGCTGAGTAGTCGCGCTATGGCTTATATTTTCAGAAAACTGTACTGGTGAAACGGAAAGGATTAAAAAGAAAAAGAAAAAAAAAGAAGACATTCAAACCGGCAGGGCAGATTTGATCAGATGACTTTCCTGCACGATCTCAACAATTGCACGAAGGCAAACGTGACTCAAGCACTCCTAGATGAGGAAAAGTTCGATCCCCGCCTCACCCACAGAACAGGGATTTAGCACCTAACCTCAATCCCACCGAGAATCTTGGAGCCATCGTGAAGGAATGCGCTGAAAATATCATCTTGGAATTGCCCAAAGAACACCAGTCTTCTTGACACCATCCAACGCGAGCGATTGTTAAAGCTTTCAAAAGGTGAACAACAAACCTTTAACTTCCTTTAACTTAGATTTTTAGTGAAGGCTTCTCTGGTCGTAAATCAGTTATAAAAATGTTTGTAGGACAATACACAGATGAATTGTTGTTTACATTAGAAGTCTGTTTTATGGGGAATTGTTTTTTATGACAGTCTCTTTAGTCTTTGTAACCATCCAAACTCTTAATGTGACCAAGTTGCTAAACAGGCCACCGGTGTATAAGGAACACTTTACTTTGGCTGAAATGAATTATTGGATGAATAAAATGGCCACCGTGATAAATAGCTGTATTATTTTTCATAGAAGGATCCTTCCAGAATTCTAAATCCAGATGAAAATATCTGTATATATAAAAAAAAAAAAAAAAAACGAAGATAAAAGAAAACTTAACTTGATTTTTACAATTTAATCAGTGATCGGTCATCAGCCCTCGATTGTCCAGAATGTTTTGAATCTGCTACGAAAGGTGTTTTTTTTTTGGTGGTGGTGGGGGGGTTACGATTACAGTTTGAAATGTAATTTAGCGGTTTTATAATTTTTTTTTTTTTTTTTTTGTTAAACTGAAGAAATTACTGATGCTTATGTAGTTCTGGTGTAATTTGAAGTATTTGGTCTTCTTATGAAGCAATTTAAAACCTTGTGTGACTTGAAAGCATTTACGGTTCGGGTTGTAAACTTTGTTCTTTGATAATAAAAAAATAAGTTTTTTGATCTAATTATTAATTTATTAATATCAGTTGTGGTAAATATAAACACAAAAGTAAAAAAACCGTCAACCTAAAAAAAAAAAATCATAAAACTTGAAGTCTTAGATCACTAACCTAAAACGGTATTTTTTAATTTCTATTTTGACCAAAAACGGAGAAACAAAAAATAAATAAAATAAAATAAAACACAATTCTTTGCATTCACAGTATTTCCAAAGGAGGCATGATTTTGGTCCATTTCAGGCCAATGTTTTTACTTGTAAAAAAAACAAAACAATCAAAAAAAAAGCAATCTGTTATCAAAAAAAATAATAAAATAAAATAACGTTATCTCTGCAATAACCGAATCATAGCACGAAACAGTTTTCAAAACACATGCGTACTGAATAGAGAGTATTTTCACTTTATAGCTCTTTTAGCGGAGAAAAGCTCAACAATTTATTTGCAGAGAGAATCTTGTAAAAATTGCCAGACACTGCGGAATACCAACACTAAACGAAACCGTTAACAACTGCGAGAACACCAGTTACAGAGAACAGAGAGACTTACGATAAAGAGCTCAAAACCGGGAGTCTCTCGACACTGCCGGGAGAGTTGACAGGTCTGTAAATAATCCCTCTCAAATAGCAATTAACTGAAATTAGTAATATTAAATTACCACGGGTCTAGTTCCGACGCTTCCCGCCAAATGTTAAGAAAAGCTAATATGGCGAGAAGCGCTGAGTGTTACTGTTAAAAGGTTACAGAGAGAATGATAATATTTGAATGCAACACTTCGTTGCTAAAGAAATAGTAAAGAAAATATCTAATGAAACACTTACAGAATAAAAATTATATTTTTCAGACTCCTTATCATCAATTAAAGAAATTAAGTATTTTATGAAGACAATATGAATAGATTTGAATGAAATTCAATGATAACATTACAGGGCGTTCCAAAAGTCACACGACAATTGGCAAAAAAAATCATACACTTGTGAAATACCAACCAGGGAAAATTTGCATGACATCATCTTCCATAATTCGACTACAGAAACATGATTCCATTTGGTAAATAAATATAAAATTTACAAGGTTATCAGTAGTAATGCATCTTTTGGAACAACCTGCATGTAGTATTTATTTTAACAAGCAATGTTGTTAGCAAACTGCAAATGTGCTAGAAAACAGCATAAGAGAAAATTAATGGAAAATATACAACCAAGTATTTAATCAAATTTCTCTTTGAAAATTTGAAATAATGAACATTAATTCAATACATTTCCAAGAAGAATAAAAAATTATCTGTTTGACACAGTTAAATATTTTTCAACTTCATATTTATAAATACGCAAGACTAATACGATATTTGTGTTCTTTATAGGGGATAATCTTTTCTTCTTTTTTTTAACAAAATGTAAAACGAGATATTTGTGCATGAAGGTACCAAAAGTTCTTACAGTCACAAAGTATTCGTAAAGAAAGATTAATCTCCAATGGATACCTAAACTTTTGACCAAGAAGGTGCCAAAATTTTTATTTAAGAGTAAAATTTGGCACACGCGGTGGTTTAAATACTGGATCAACATGGTGTCATTATTTTTAGTAACAATACTAGTTATAAAATAATGGAGTTTATCATTATAGAATGTCTAGTTGAATAAAACACAGCAGCAGCAACATTTATTAGGAATGAGTTGAGGATATGTTTAAATTGAGGGTCCTTTGGAGGGGGGCAGCATTTTTGTCAATGGTCATGTCACACTATTGTCTATTATGAAATTAAAGAGGAACAACCAGTACTTTTTTTTTTTTTTTTTTCTTAGAAAATGCAGCTTTTGTTTTAAAGTGATGGTGTCCTTACATACAAATATTTTTTAATTATTTCACCACAAACAAGGTGATAATGCCACTAAGACACAAAGGGATATCGGGAGTGAGATAGAATGAAAAGACTTTAGTGAGGGGAAAGGACAATTAAAGAACAGGTTTCAGAAAGCCAGCGGATAGTGATTGGCATTGCATTTAATCTTTTGAAAATCATAGGTGGCAGGGAAGCCAAAAATCAGAAGGGAGTTCCACAAGTGAGAATTGCAACAACAAAAAAAAAACAAACAGATGGTTGTATCTAGCTAGTTCAATAGTAAAATGGTGAGCCCTAGTTGACAAACTGAGTAGCATGCTTAAATTCATGCAGTCAAGGATCATCATAACAATTGTCATGAAAATATTTGTGGAAAAAACAGGGAAACCACTCCACTTTGGTTAGAAAATGACTGAAGTTAAGATGCCAGTTTAGGATTGATTACATTAGAGGCCTTCTTTAAATCTTGTCAAGAATTTCAAGATATATGATATGGCAGCAATATTCCATGCACAGACGATTCTAATGAGAAAAATTATCTGGCACAACAGAGTGAACCAATTTTCCTAGCAGTAGACCCAGCAATTGATTCAATATAATCATTCCACTTCATGTCACTTGAGAACAAGGCACAAAGAGTTGCTCTCCTGGAGGTTAGCATCAGCCATGCTGATGGCAGGTAAAAAAGCTTCTCTATGGTGATTAAATGAAAACATTTTTCTTTTTGGATACATTAAAATTTAAAAGCCATTCCTTGTCTCAGTTAGCCATTGATTGGAGGCCCTTTTTGCCAGTCTTACTTTTTTGAACCTGTCAGCTTGCTACTAAGATTTTATTCAAGTATTTTTATCTAAAGATGGAGGCAGATTACATTATGCTGAAAAAATATATTTAATCATATCTACAGAAACATCTTTCATTCTACACAAAGGTAAAATACACTATGTCAGATTTCATTATGTAAATCAATGTTTTCATAATAAAATTTCTAGTAAGCAACTGATGTTTGTAACATTTTCCTAATGTCTTGTTTTATGTACCATGTCCCTTCAGGAAGTGGTTAATTATGTCACATAAAATGAGCTATTCTTTGTAGATTTAAGTAATATCTGTTTCCTTACTATCTCTCCAAGTCTCTGTCCTGCCATACAAACTCATTAGGTAGGTTGCTCTATGTTTTTCTTTTGCTCCTCTTGTCTTGTGAGTATTAGATTTTCAAAGCCCTCTTTCCTCTTTCAATCATTTTGTTTCTAAGTATAAAATGTCATTTTTTTGTTTCTATTTTCCTTGTTGCTCACATGTGCTATCTGTGATAGTCTTGGCATCCATCTATAGAACCACATCTCTTTTGCCTAATGTCTCTTCTTCATCTGTGAGGAAAGTGTTCGGCATTTACTACCATATAAGATTACATAGCAATTCAGTACTTTTCTATATATGTTGTGTATTTGGGCAGCAAACCTTCTTTCATACAAGTTTCATTGAAGATGACTGAATAGGCACTGCAATTAATGTTTTTATTAAAATCTTCTTGCATTTACATTTCTGGAGATAATATGTGTAAAAACTGTCCCAATGATCTGTAGATCTGAGCATTTTTGGCTAATCTAGTAGCCATTAGCAAGGATAAGGAAAAGAATTCATATCTACAGATCATTTGAACAGTTTTTACTCTAGAGGCCCTGAAAATAAATCACTTTGGTAAATTTACCAATTATATAAAACAAATGATGTGGTTTTCGTTGTTTGATACAGTTCTTTGTTTGCGATTCTAAAGTGATAGTTCACAATGTTTGAAGGGTTGGTCATTTGATTCATTTTCTTCGGTTTAATCAACCCTTTGCAGATTATTTAAGGCCAGAAAATATTTTTAGATTGTAAGAATTTTATGAGAGAGATAAAAATGTTTTAATGATACAAGTTTTACTAATTAACGCATAGCTGGAGGAGAAGTGGTGGATTCATAAGTTAATGTAACCAACCCAACAGGAATTGGAACTCAGCTCTCTGATTAATGATTCCATTATTCATCACACCAGCTGCACATCCAAGCTTACAGCCAATTGTATTTGCAAGCAGTCACCCATCTAGGTACTGACCAGGCTCAATGTTGCTTAACTTTGGTGATCATATGAGAACCAGTGTTTCAATGTGATGTGGCCGTAAGCCTGAAGAAAAAAAGTACTCAACTGCTATGTAATCTCAATCATCCTGTATGGTAGTAAATGCTGAACACTTTCCTCACAGATGAATAGGAAATATTAGGCAAAAAAGATGTGGTTCTACAGAAGGATTCCAAGATTATCACAGAACATGTGAGCAATAAGGAAATTTTAAGAAAAACAGAAACAAAAAAATGATATTTACACTTAGAATCAGAAAGATAGGGTTGAAAATTCTGGAACACATTTAGAGAATCAAATAATAAATCTTTTCTTCATTTCTAATGAAATTTTGCTGTTTCTTCATACTTTGTTTAGCTTTTGGAAGGTATCTTTTGTATCACATTTTCCATTATCTATTAAAAACACTTCTCAGATCCAGATAGTTAAGTTTCTTGCTTAACTTTGATGTTTTCTATCTATAGTTCACATCTTGAGCTGTTCTTCACATTAATGACCATACATCCTGTCCTTTTTGGGTATACTTACATAATAAATATACAATATGAATTTAACCTTGTAACGTGTTTTTATTATAATTATTTACAATAATTTATATGATATATGAGAGTTTATTATGCAACTCAGAGTTGTTTATCATATAAATAAACATATATAATGCTATAGTTTTGGAGATTTATTTTTTAATTTTAGATATATAAAGATTGCCATGGGTTATAAGAAAGATATAACATCAAAAGAGAAACAAGATATTATAATGTTACTGAGTAACGTAAACACAACATTGGAAATTGTGAAGAAGTTGAACAAAGACCAGAAAACAATGAAAAAAGAAATTGAAAGCATTGGCAAATATAAGAAAAAAATTGGCTTTAAAAATGTTACAAAGAGATTTGAGAAAAATCAAGAGAGTAAAACCCAATAAAAGTTGATTAACCAACAAGAAAACATTTGAAGAACATGATATGTTGTGAATATAAACAAAGAGAAAACATCTAAAAGGTTAAAAACATTGGCTAAAGATAATAGAAGCAACCAAACTACCACATTTAAGTAAAAATCCTCAAAAAGTTTGGTGAAGATATATATAAAAACTGATTCTCAAAAATAATTTTACTGATGAATCCTAAGCTACATTGAATAAACCTGCTAATTTGGCTCGAGGTTGGTCTCTCATGAAAATAGTCAATCAACACAATGTTATATTCTGCTTCACACTAAATATCTTTCTGAATCACTCTACATCAAAACCTGTCAGCCAGATGTGAAGGCTACAAAAGCAAAACTAAAAATAAAAAAGTTACTCTGTGTAAGGGCTCCAAGCATCTGGCTCACAATAGAAATCCTCCCAAAATATATATAAAATACAATATAAAAGAAGCCAATCATGAATGTTACTTCTAAAGCAAAAACATGACAAAAAACAATGAGTCATCTGCTTTTAAGAATGCCACGCTCACAACAAAGCAAGTTGTCAATGTCACCACCAGTAACCTTGGTCAAGTGACCCGACACTATACATCAACTCCAGGCCCCATGCCCCACAAAAAGATATTCCACCTTGATCCTCTATTTTATCTTAACAATTCTTGTCTTCTTTTCTTTTCATCTCATGATACATGTGTTTATAACAATAACTTAGAAGATAACAAATAGGAGGTAGAATCATGTTTTGGGATAGTATTGTCTGTAATGAAATTATAGTTCCCTTCAAAGTTTATGATAGTTTCAAGGTAAATACAAGGAATTATTCCAAGTTCTTTGTCGAGATGTTTTTCAAATGGTAAAGGTCACTTTAAGTTGATGAGTATATTCATGCACAAGAACACTCCCTCGCATTTTGCTATTTATTATCCAACTTGTCATAAATGATTTCAAAGACAGCAAATTAATGGAAAGGTTACTAGCCTCTCTAGATAGAAAAACTTGCGATTAAAAGCAACATATATCAGAAATATCTAAGACGCAATAAAAGTAAAGTTAATGTTGAAAGAGTAGAAAAGTTAACAAAACCAACAGAAGAAAGACTGATGAATCTTGTATATTTATCAGATAAGGATACATGGCCCAGTGGATAAAAGCATTGGTTTGATCCAAAAGTGACTTGAGCCAAAGAGTTGTGAGATCAATTCCTGGCCACAGGAGAAAAAACAAAAATTTGGAAAGTTGAGTTATCAAGTGGAATTATCTAAACCTGAGATACGTGGAATTAGAACAATCTACTAATCTGGACCAAATAAAGGGCTTGGTTCAAAATTCTTGGTCCAAAATTCCAACAAATATCACCTGAAGAAGGATGTAGCATATAACAGCTGATACGTTGAGAATATAGCAATAAAGATGAGGATAACAGTCTGAACAATGTAAATATAGACAGATGTGTATTCAGAAAGTATGCTGATTAGCAAAAGGGACATCTCAAGATATGAGCTATAAGTTGAATTGTCTATCCTTTTTGTTGTCCGCGTTTAAAAAGAAATGTGCATTTTATAACACATTTTTGATATATGCCGCAATCTTCTTCAAGTTTTTATTGTGTTAGAAATCACTTTCTATTACTGTTAAAAATGATAACAATGAAAAGATTGAATAATTTAAAGGCTGATCTGGCATCTTGTTTACAGTCACTTTCTCACAGATATGCCATCACTTCTCTCTGTCTTTTCTACAAATACTTTCACAGTAAATGCTCTGACAATTGCTGGTTCCCAAACTGCATGAATTTAAATGTGCTACTAAGTTGGCATCTCAGTTCCACCTTTTCACTGTTGAAATGTAACCGTCTCTTCTACTCCAACAGCTTCATGTCTCGCACTTCCTGTCTGTGGAACTCTCTTCCTCTTACTTGCTTCCCTGATAGCTATAATCTTCAATTATTCAAATGTAATGTCAATCAACATCTCCAGGTGCCTTGATCTATTCCCTGTCCTTCTCTTCATCCTTTCCTCTTTCATGCCTCTTTACTCTTGCTCCCACTCTGTAATTCCTTGCATGCTAGTGGCACTCCCGCCTTGCTTGAGGTGAAATGCTTAATAAAAAAAAGTCATTCATTTGTGACGAGTTCTTTCATTTTATTTATGTTGTTTTTTACCCCTCCATATACACACACACATACATGTGCACAGAGAAAGTTTTCTGTTCACCCAATACAAGTCTCAAGAGTCACTCAAAGTAAAAGGATTACCGAAAGGCATTATCATATACTGTCAGAACTCTAATTCTTTAACACAAATCAAAGTGCTCACTTTGACATCCACAACTCATATGACATCTTTCCTGACCAATCAGAAAAGGCCCACTTTTTTTTTTCACAGCAGCCATTTTTGAGCCACTGACTCACTATAAAACCAATGCTGATTTCACCCAGTAAGGCATATCCGAGTGATGGACCAAGAGGCAGACAACTGAATGCAGTAGACAACACAATTGCCCAGGCCATTAGCAGTATACCAAGACACTTCTATCAATAGTGATGATTTTGGCCAGCAACAAAACTAGCAGCGGAAACTAACTCTGAACTACTACAATCCAATAATTTATGGAACATTTCTCCCATGGGTATATCTCACTCGATTACATATGCGTGTTGATTTTCTCCACATGTCTATTTTGACTACTACCTTGTGTTATACTCCAAAACAAACTCTCACCCTCCCACAACTGATATATGATACCCTGGAACGATCAAACCTTGTAGATAACAGGAAATAAAAACTCTGTTACTTATCTCAACCATGTCTTATCTACATTTGTTATTTTGTCAATTCCACTTTTTTTTCTTGTTAATGGTAAGGTCACCATTATACTTTTGTTTTATGGATATAAGAATTGTAGATTATGAAGATATGCATGTAGATAACAGTTGACCCAGGACTTAAATAAAGAGGTTAAGAGTGAAGTGGTCAGAAAAGCATCCTCTTGGGAGTCTGTTCCACAAGATAGTGGTTCTTAGAAAGAAGTTGTCCAAATGTCACTTCTTAGGAAGGGAATGAGGATAGTTTGCTACTGTATATGTGGCATGGTGGGTCTTACCTGTAAACACCTGAATTAGCATGTAGAACAGTTCCATGAAAATAGTGATAGGCTTGCAATATTGCATCTGTGGGAAAGGAAGTGTAGGGTGAAAAATAATTAATGCATTGGATAATGGGGAGTGTAGCTATATGAGTGAATTTGAATTATGCCTGTCGATGAACTTTTATAGCCTAATCAGTTAGTTGCTATTCATATTAGACAGGCTTTTGGCAATGCAGGAAGATAATCCTTTATTTCTAATCTGTGTTACTTTCATAACTGTTGTAGAATGTAAATACAACCTAAGCAGCTGAACATTAAAATGAAAAGCAACAAAAATAAAAGGAAAAATCTAGTCAAAAATTAACAATAACAACAGTGCTTCATTTTAGAAATTGAGACAATGAAAATTGAGATGAAACTCAAGACAATACAAGAAGGCTGAAAAATGGTCAAAATGTCTCCCATCAGAATGGCTGATGCCCAACTCCACGAGAGTGCCTCAATACACCTGCTTGGTCTCCCACTAACCAGAGGTCAAACAAATATCACAAGAAAAATTGGTTCTCTGTGTCGTACCAGAAAGTTTTTCTTGCCTGAGTCCATACTTCAAATCTATAAATCAAGCATCCATCCTTGCATGGAGTACTGCTGTCATGTATGGTCTGGTGCCTCTGCTGTTTGTCTCAAGATCCTTGACAAAATCCAGAGACAGATATGCAATGTGATATGTCCTGATCTAGCATCTTGTCTACAGTCACTATATCACAGACGTGCCGTCATTTCTCTCTGTTTTTTCTACAAGTGATTTCATGGCAACTGCTCTGATGAGCCACTTTCATTGGTTCCCAAACTGAATAAATTTAAGCATGCTACTAAGTTGGCATCTCAGTCCCACCCTTTCACTGTCAAAATGGTTAAATGTAGTCATCTTTTCTACTCCAACAGCTTCTTTTCTCACACTTCCCATCTGTGGAACTCCCTTCCTCTTACTTGCTTCCCTGATAACTATAATCTTCAAATATTCAA